ATCCACACCACAATTACCTATCCAATATTATCTATAATAGACGATGATGCGAAAACAATGTTAAGTGAAGTGAGTGCGATCATAATAATTCTCTAGGTCGTTATGTGAACAAGTTGGAAGCTAGCCGGCAATTTGTTAGTGTGAATAGTGCCATAAAATCATGCTCATAAAAATATGCTCATCCATTCGTATCTTACACGATGTCACCAAGGAGAGTGCGAGCGTCGGTGGTCTATTAGAGCATCCACATGGCGAGGGAGTGTCGTGAGCAGAAAAGTTTCCATCCAGCGGCAAATCCCGGGGGGGATGAAGAGATTGTAATTGAAAATGAGAGTGACTGCGGTGGAGTGGTGCTTTGGGTGCCACTAAATAAACCTTAAACCACACTTCTTTCCATTCTTTTGTTGTGACAATGTCAATGAATCTTCTGAGACGGACGCGGTGGGAGAAGTTCGTCTCATCATTCAGTCACTTGAGCTAATTATCTCTCACTGGAATCTCCCTTGCTCCGCCACGCGATCTCGCTGGCAGGTCTCTTGAGCACGCCCGGGATGCCGCGAGTGGAGCTCTAAGGCGATCCCGCCACCCTTGGGGACATTCTTGAGAAGGAAGGTGACGCGAATGTGTATAACTCTTGGTGAATCGATTGTGGCATTAAGCCAGAGGAACCCGAAAATATTCAAAGTAAAGATATAAATAAATGCAAAATATGTACTCCAACGCTATAAATAAACCCCAACACAATCACTCTATGATCATCTTCCATTCGCGAGAGAATGGACAACAAATTGTGGGTGTGGACTTGAAAGAAAGGAGCCCCAGTTTATCACCGTATCGATGACAAGTCTCCAACGTACACAAATTCTCACCAGTGGTGAAAAAGAACTATTAAGTTTCTAACAAGAAAACTTTTCTTCGGCCTCTCGCCATTTTTACACACCGCGCGCCGGTCAGGATGAGGAGAAAAAAAACAGCAAACAAAGTTTATATGATTTGAAAATGCTGAGGAAACGCATCTGTTGGCTTCTCGGCAAAATTTCCCAGCATCTCTCTCTCTCTCTCTCTCGGTATTTATTTACTGCTTGCGAAGAGCAGTGAATGTCACTGTGTTTCGATGTGCAAATTTCATAAAACGAGTGGAATTTATCGTGAAATAAACAGCAATTTCGTCAGCACAGGAGAAGACTTTTCAGTTAATATCCTCAGAGAGGATTTCTCATTTCCCAGCTTTTTTTTTTTTTTTGATATACATAAAACGTTCATTTCTCATGTTACCTGTATAGTTGAAGAGGGATTCCTTCGGTGATTTCTTTTACAACATTTTAATTATTCTTGAGCAAACATAAGGCCTTAACTTTACGGTTTATCCTGGAGGTTCTACAGTCACATCAAAGCTGTAAAACGCACACCAAGAGAGGAAAGCCACAAATTCGTGTCCTTTTTTGGGGAAATATTTTATGACTTTATTTTATTACGTGCCCCGGAAATGTATTGTGCCTGTTGTCCTTCCCCAACGGAAGTATTGAATTATCCTGCATATCCTCAATCCGATTGATTGTCGATACGATTAATGTTTGGGAAGGTCATCAAATTGTCTTCAACTTATCTATGAATTGTAATTTGATGGAACCACACGTTTCTATTGTGATGTAATCAATTTAGAAACTATTAAGCTATATTGAGGGGAACATGAATGGTCGGGTTTTTTCGATAGAAATGTAACCCAAAATGACAAATTTACTTCTTCATTCTGTATGTTTTGCAAGTCTGTGATGAATTCGAATAGAATTTCTAGAATTGATATCGAATATTTCAATTTTAAGCAACGTGATGTGCACTCAAATTCTCATCTGAATCACTCTAAGCGTACATAAAATGTTTTACAATGTCGAGGTCCGCAGAACTTGTGATTTTGTGATATGAGTAAAACACTTTGCAATGCGAATAGTTCCTGAATATTTATCAAATTCGAGCGGGTGAAGTTTGGCAAAATGTCATGTGCAAGTATGTCATGAGCTTCAATGAGTGCCACTAGACAGTTGTACAAAAACCTGTCAATAATGTGAAACCCCTTTACGTGTGAAAAATGGGGACAATTTGAGGAGAAGCCCATCAACTACTCATGAAGCAGCTATTCGCATGTGTTGTGAGTGATTTTGCCAAAAAATTCCCCACGAGAGGTGAAAGTTGATCCGTCTCAAGGAAGTGACTGTGCACATATTCATATACTGCACGCGAGATTCATCGCTAGAGAGAAGACTAAATGATGTGCGATGTGCGCAAAAACGATTTTCAGTCACCGTGAAAGCTCTCAATGACTCTGAGCGAGTGACCAAGAGTGCACCAGTGGCACCTGGCTCGGTTAAACTGTCTCTAAACACCAATTTCCACGAGATCATTTACAGAAGCTCTCGTGGATAAGACACTCGTCACAGTGGAAGTGTGGCAGAACCCGAGGCGAGTGCTTAAATAAAATTCCATTAATATTTTATTCGGGAGAACCGAGAGACTGCAAGGTGTCTTGAGGACATCATGTTCGTTATTTATATGTAATTACAAATCTACCACTTCTGTCTTAACACAGCAGAGATCTCAGCTCTCTCATTCTGTGCGATGCAAGTTTAAAAGGGCAGCGAAGCCACAGAAAATATGGTAAATAATGTAAATCAATGTCAAAACACCTTGAGAGTTATATGTGCACAACTTTAGCATCGCAGAAGCCTAATATATTTTTCAACGCCTGATTTACAATTCTCAACTCAGATGGAAATATGTCAAAGTTATACGATTTCCGGTGCAAAGAGACACGCTGGCAAGCGCCATGGGCGCCTTGACATCGAACCCTCGTGACAGAGGAGCAAAAGTACTTTGCAGAAGAGGAAACTTTATTACTTCCCTCCGAGAGTCACATATGCGTCGAGCTGTACTGAGAAAATCATCTGCGGGAAGGATGTTCATTGAACTGATGACGATGTTTTGTCACAAATTGTCGTATCCGCGCTTAATCATTCATAAACCATCCTCCACTTTCACTCCTCATATGGGCGTATTTCCATAAACTGCCACCACACGGAAAACTCAATTTCTGCTTTCCCGTACATTTCCAAAAAGAAAAAAAAATGTATATCATGTTTTGGATTCCTTGGTAAATCTTGTCTGATGAAATTTCAAGGATAGAAGAGATATCCTGGACTGAAATTGTACTTTTTTTTCCCCTTGTGAAGTTCAACTTTTTCCTCACTAATTCGCTTCCCTCTTTGGACATAGTATTCCGAAAACCTGCTCGTTTCACAAGTTTTTCCTTAATTGAGCTAAAAGTTTGGGAATATTCATATCTCCTCCCTCGAGCGTGGAAGAAATCGCAGGTACAGCCAGTGTCATAATTGCACAGACAATCAATACGTAATTATGGTAATATTTACGATTAATTTCATAGAATTCCCCACAAGCTATTTGTTCCGCGCGTAATAGCTTTAATAGCTTTTCAGTATCAAAGCAAATATGTGTATAAACAGCTTCATATGTACATTTATTAGAAAATTAACGTCTGTGCTCATAATCTCAATATTGACGATATTCGGTATTGAAAATGAATTTTCAACACAATAAATGATGGCAAATATTTCGGTTTTCACTTTGAAGATTATTATTATTATTATTTCTTAGCATATTGTAGTCATAATCTGTAATTTATTGCAAAGTTATATTTTCATTTTGTATTATAAGATCAAATGACTGAACAAAACTTTGCAACAATCGTTGTCTGTGTAATTATTTCGCTGATTGTTCACAGTCCCTTTCGTGAGGCAAGTCACAATTTACTTCAATTTAGGATTTGTGTAATTGAATAAATTCGCCTGAGTTGTTTCTCAAATATTTAATTATTTAAGTTTATGAATTTGCTCGGGTGACGATAAAACTCTCGCGAAGATTTCTGTTGGAAATTCCCGTCAACTGCTAAGTCAACTCTTGCTTCACAGCTGATGAACGAGAGGGAGTTGGAAAGAAAACTTTAAGGAGAAACAGATTCTGTCACTGCGTGAATCTGGGGGAGATTATCCACCAGTTATAAGTGTTTGTGTATGAATGTATCGCACTGGGTTTATTTCTGCTTTCCTCTGACTCGAATTTATGTGTGGGGAAGAAACAATATCATCCCAGAAATCGTTGGTGATTTCTGCCTTTTCTTTCTTTTTTTTCAATAATTCTTAATTAATAGCGTCTAACATATGTGTCATTGAGAAGAATTCGCTCTCCATCTCGCTCCTGCTTGGCTTCTATTTCTGCCCCAGATTAGTTCGGAAGAGGTTGACGGAAAAGCCATTGAATAACTGACCACATTCAAAGTGTGATGGCAAGAAAAATCGCGTCGAGCGGCAAGAGACGGTTTAGAGGGGAACTTTATTTATATAACCACGTAAGATCGTAAGATTACAGAGATTATGAGAAGACGACAGATGTCACGAGAGAAAAGTCTCTATTCCCATATCCAAAGCTCCCCCATATCCGCCCACCATAAAAGTGCCGTGAGATTTTTTATGATTTCACCTGTTTATGTAGAGCCAAACCGATGGGCTTCGTGAGGATGAAGCGAGTTGTGTCGAGAGGAAAAAAAAATCGAGAGGGATTTCTCAGAAGTAAAAAATTCACATGACAAATAATGGCTCTCTCTCTCTCTTGGCAAACTTTTTTGGCACCTTTCCTCACACACTATTTATCTCGCTGTATTACACTTGAATTTCCTCATTGTGACCGTGATGCCTCAGCAGTCAAGTTTATAATCGAGTCTTGACATTATAAGCAAAAGCCTCGTGGTGTCTGCACACACAGCCCAATAAAGCTGGCTGTGTACACATCTTCTGAAGAATATGAGGAAGTTTATAAATTGTGTGTTTATTTTAAACAGAATTAAGGCACATTTGCTGCATTTCTGCGAAAAATTGCATAGAAAAGACAGCATCAATGCCTCGAGATGTGCTCAATTATTCTCTATAGCTCACCTCTTTGCTGTTGCGTCGATGTGGCACTTTCACCGTCAAGGAGACAAGCGAGGCTGCGCCAACGGAAGGTCCGTGGCGGAAATTAAAGGAAACGAAAAAGAACTGTCTCGAAATGTAGATATCTCTCTACATTGTTCCTTATCACTTCACACGCTCTCCCGCATGTCTACGCGTTATCCATCCATTGATTGCGGAGCACACACACGCGAGATGCGGCGAGGAAAATCGCGAAATCGGCTCCCCTTGAAATTCTACACTCACTCGGCTGATCTTTTTCCGTTGCTGGCACCGCGACGTGGATGACAGATGGGAAAGAGAATAATAATTTGTTTATTTATTGAGAATGAAAGAAGGATCCCAGCAAGCGTGAGAGTTTAATGAGGGTGGAACACTCTCGGCGAAACACCGTCGGAGGATTCCATTCACGTTTGCAGAAGAGACGGCAAAGGGTGAAAGCACACAACTCGCGGATTCCCTTCGAGCAATTAGGACTGAAAGATTAGCTCACCGTTCAAATGAACACTGAATTGCTTGCGGTGCATACAATGCACTTGAAGCTCACCGCAGAGTGAGAGAGTGAATTGCAATCAAAATTCTATTTTCGCCTCACATTGAACCTTGAATGGGCCCATTGAGGAGCACTATTATGCTCTTCCTCTTCCCTTCCTTCCTTCTTTCATTCATCACGAGTGCTTTTTATTAGCGTTGCACGGACTTTCAGGACAATTCTTACTTGCACACACACATTTCTCCATGAAAGAACTCTAGAATATAACAGACAATATTTGCTAGTAATGAGAATCTATTCATGAATTCTTACCAATTCAGGGTAATTCGAAGTCACAGAACTATTGCGACTTTGAATGTTTTTGCTGAACTTGATCTACAATTAAGTCTGTACAGAAGCATTTATTTACAACTGAAATCTCCAAAGGCTTCTCATGTCTTTCCAGCTCTTCTACCCAAAATCCGTGATATGCAGTTCTAACCACAGACTTTTAACAACAAAACTTTATACGACAATGATAAGATCCAACAATGCTAACATTGCATTTTCACTCTCGGCGCTTTACGCCAAAACTTAATTTTGATATCAGCGAGTAACAATTAGGAGGTGCAAGTCGAATTTTAACTAGTTCTAAATTAACACGGAAAATCTATTTAAACTTTCGCTGTATTTTCCTCTTTTACATCATTAAACGGAGTATTTCCCATTTTCTCACTCCTGTTGTCTTGTAGACAAACACACACACACACACTTAATGCGAAGCGAGGCCTTGCAATTACACGTGCAGACTAATTTTATTCTTTCTGCATAATTTTCATACAAAACACACACGGGAGAGTCTAAGAGGACAAGGTCGGCTTGAGCGCATTTGCGATTCCTTGTGGACTTTCTCTGCAGCGAAAGCGCTCTCCAACAAAGGACCAATTTGTCGGGCGACATTTGAGCCGAGAAACGATCAGCAGAGAAAAGTGCGGTCGAGTTCGCGAATGGAAAAATGAAGCGAGATGACCTTATTGTAAATAGTCACGCTTACATTTCGACGTCGCGCCGCGCGTTTTGTGCTTTCTCAACCAACTCGCGTCATTTGTTGTTCCCTGCACGTTCGTTTCTCTGCACAATATTTCAACTCCCCACCCACGAGTGAGGTCAGAGGGTTGGAAAAAAGCTTGGGGGAAAAACCCAGGCGAGGCGGAAAAATGCATCGAATGACTTGGGATTAAAAGAAGCCTGAATAGGGGCAGGAATTTTGCATATAGGCACGCGGGGAGGGGGATTTGTAAATATGCAACATTACTCACGAAACGAGTAAGTCACTTCCAACATATTTCTCTCGCTCCTGCATATGTTATATGTGGCGAACGACAAAATTTGTGGTCGTGAAAATATATATTTAAATCAACTCGGTAAACTTTTGCTCTCTCGCACACGAGCAAATATTTCTAAAAGTGCCGTGAAAAATGCATACGAATATGAATGTTGGAGATCAGAGAGGAAATTTCTCGCATTTCTCAATCATCCAATGACCTCACAATCAAATGCTGCAACATCAAAGGCAGGCTTCATCCCCTGGGCGCATTCTTTGGTGACTTTGGGGAGCTTTTTGCAATGAGCTCGGCGAAAGAAATATGGGAAAAGTATGTTGCCAGCGGAAAGGGAACAACTCGATACACGTTGCATGCTAAGTAGAATTGTAGTGCCGAGAGAATTCCACCCATTGGAAACGTGGCGGATGAGAAATTTTGATTGAACTAAAAATAATTATGTAAATTGCGGAGGAAAAAGAAGCCATGGCATGTGAAAGAATTTTCCCGAGACACACAAACATTGTGTCGCACGATTTATTCCGTCCATGACGATCATCGTTTGAGCTGAGGCCCAATATTGAGACCGTCTTTCGGGAGATCAGCAAAGTCACACGCGAGTCATCACTCCCGATTCTTGGCGTCCTATTTTCGGCACTCACTGGCACTCTTCTGCCCTTGGACACTCTTCCTCATGACTGATAAATCAGACACGAATTGCGACAATGTGGAACTCAACATAAAGTCAGAGACACTTTCACGGCTGAATCCAGTGTCTTGAAACCCTCGAAACCGCCGAAGGTGACTTCCGAGACGTCTGACCAACGCCGCGACGATTCACCAACTGAAATACACTCCTGAGTGCGGGTGTTCAACCGACACGAGAGTGCGCCTCTCTCCGCAGTTGGCGCTCAGAAGCAGGACCGCGAGCATAAGTCGATATTATATACTCTCGCGGAGCATATTTCAAGACTCGCATAGCTATAACATTACGCAGTTCACACTTTATGAGCAGTCCATTAGAATTGAAAGTCCATAACATCCACTTTTTGTCAAATATTTATAGCTGGAATGAAGAGAAATATCGAACTCCTAAAACCCCTTTTTCATTGTGGAATACTAAAAAAAATCTCTATAAACGAGTTAATTCACATTAAGAGCATTTTCTGATTACCAATAAAAGGAACTCAAATCAAAATACCCTGATTTTTAAACAAATAGAACGTTTTGGAAGTAGATTTATCTTATGAATGAGCTATAAAACTGTTTTTTTGATCATAAGATTCAATTTTCTAACTTTCTCAAAGCATTACGCATTTCTGCACATTTGTATGAATTATATACTATCATTTCACTTATTGGGGAAATTCTGAGAATTCATTTTCCATTGCATGTCAGTCTCACACAACATGCTCGACTCGTGCTGGCCATCTAAATGGGAACAGAATTGTAAGAGAGCAACTGAGAGTAGAGAGAGAGAGAGAGAGTCTCATATAGAGCACAAACAGGTGCTTCTTCGACGTCAAATCATGCGTCTGGCCTGGCCACCATTTGGAGTGTGCGGGTCTAAGAAAAGAACAACATTTTCACACAAGTGGTTGCGAACACAATTATATTCAATTTATTTAAGCCCATTTCGGCAGGAATGCACGAGAATTTTGGTAAGGTATGCCCCATGAATTTCAGCATTAATAGCCCCATTTCTTCCCCCCAAATCGTGTGCGGTTTCACCCTTCAATGCCTATCTCAAGCGCTGTATGTAGATTGCCCCTAAAACTCTCCTATTCGACGACTTTATTAAAATTACCCTCCATCCCATCGTGGAAGTGTATGAAAAGCTCATTCGAATTGGCAAAGCTACTCACATTTGCCCTTTCAATTTGCCTCTTTTATGTGCACATGGGGAAGGTGGATCACTTTAATATCGCCACCACTTGAATTTACTGTCCAAATTGACGGGCTGCTTTCATGCACGGAATTTATCTACCCCGAAACATGATAGATTGATCAATCACGAGCTGACCAGAGGGCTGTAATTGAGGGGCAAATAGATGATAATGCCTGCAATCAAACTATCAGGGATCAAGTGAAGGTCATGAAAAACTTCATCAGTTAGTGAGCATTAAAAAAGAACAACCAAACACGTGGCGCAATTTCGAAAGGAAATTTACCAGAGAGCCGAAACAATCCATTCTGTATTTACGAACAGTGATTTATCCCGTCAGCGTGTTTTTGTTTAATAGGCCTCTCTTAGAGTTATTTCGATGGGTATTTAGGGTGCTTGATAGTGTGTGAACAGCGCTATTAGTGGTTATGATAGGGACGTTTTGTAGTGGATGAGAAGAAAATGATGTAATAAACTAAACGCTGCCAGCTCAACAGTTCACCAAGGAGAGTTAATGAGGTAAACCTCGAAATCCAGGTGAGTTTAGTACTGCACTTGCATGGTGAGAAAAAGGTGGAAAAATTGCCCAACATCTCGGCACGTGAAGAGGACAAATGAGCCTTCGTCGTGCAAATTTCGTGAGAACGATTTACCCAATTTTCACCTCAGTAAATCCTCTTGTAATATGGTTTTTCTCTGCGGATTGGATTTTGAGGGTAAACAGTGAATTTGTGGAATTTACTGTCATGTCGAATCCTCGAGGCGGAAATATCTCATTTTTCTTCCCTCGTCGCACTGGAGCAGTGGAAGATTGTAATTCAATTTGGAGAAATGTAGCTGGCGCTCAACTTCGACATCTCACGTGTGGCGACTGTGAAGAAAAGGTGCTCGATTTCACGGGGTGGAATCGTGCTCGGTGTGCTGCTGCAGCTCATCGCAGAGACTCTGTACAACCCTGGGCATTTTCTCACGTTTCTCACTGCACCCGCGTGATCCTTTGACATCTCCCCGTTCGGTGCGACATTGCCGAAGTTCATCCACCCTGAAATACACCGCAGAGAGAGAGAAAATCTAATGAAATATTTACAGAATCATATTTACTTCTTTCTCTTACTGGTTATCCTCGTCTCAAGATGCTCTTGTGGCGGGATTTGCGCAATATGATTCCATCTTATTAAAGGTGGAATTTACTTCATCAGAAGATGAAAGGTTTAAATTAGAACAAATCTAGTAAATAATTAATACAAGTGCCGAATTTTTATGCTCCTATACACTTTACGCTATTAGTAAGAATTTCTGACCATTCAATTACATAAAATTCAACTTTCCACTTTGTTGTTTCATCAACTTTATTCGTAATTATATCCCCACGAACAAGCAGAACACAACTCTCTAGATAAATTACTTTCAAAACTTTAATTAATATACAATTCACAAGCTTGATTAGCAAAATTTCTCATTAATTTAAATGTAAATCAGAATGAGAATCTCTTTCATCATAATGTAACAGAATAAACGCATAAAGGGCGACTATTTACATTATATGTGTTTAGTCAAAAGCGGCAATAAGTGCCCCTTCGTGGGTCATTTCTGCCATACGCAGAGAACTAGTAAATGTTTGTGTTGATGGGCGGACACTATCGTAATATAAGTTACATTGAAGCGTGACAAATCTTCACCAAATTAGGTTCGTTCGTTTTCCTTTAATTTTCCGACTGGGAAGAAAATAGATTTCTGTATGTCTCTCTATCTAATAGGATCACATCCGAAATTCCCCATATAATCAAGAATGAATAATTAATTTCGTCAGCGTACAGAGAGGCCCTCTGACAAACTATTCCACCACAAACACTGGCACCCAGGGAGCGTTCCATGATGAATTATAGATGTATCTCCGGCTCCTCGGGCCCCCATCGCAGCCCCACAAGTCGCACACGGCGCAATTTGAATAAAAATGAAACTGGAAACATACACACTCTCTCCCTGTGACCTTATCATCCATCCCCAATCATTATGCGATAAAAGCACGCTGTTTCGGACTACCAGTGAAAATCATTATTATGTTGAACACGTTACAAACACAAACATTTCTGCTGCCACCGACTTCACCCCACTCCTTGTCCCTCATTTCCCAACACTCTGGCCATTATCGCAGCGAAGAGGCCTCGTACTATTTCTGAAATATCCCAATCAATACGTACAATATTTAGTGAATTGATAAACTTTTTTCGGCCAACAATTCACCCGACGCAGTGACGGGGAATTGTGTTAAAATAACAATGAAACCGAGTGCGGAAAAAGGGGAGAAAAAACATGGAATGAGCATAGAAAGAGTGCTCAAACAATAGGCGCTTATCATAATTGTGATCAAAATGAAACTACATTGTGTATCAATAATCAATTGCAATAGAGCCAAATAATTCGTACGAGTTAAAAGGAATAATTCTCCAGCTATTAGATCAGTTGTATAAGTGGAAAAAGGGGTGAAAGCGAGAGAAAAGAGGAAAAAAAATGCTAATTTAATTATTTCACCCATTTTCATTCATCATATCGATGTCATGTACAACTTGTCTGTCATTTCTGCCTCTTTTTTTGCCGCCCAATCGGGCCACTGTTTTACCCACTTGTAGTTCTCCATCATATTTCTCGGTTTCACATCGCTCGCCTATCACCTCTCATTTCGTCAAGCCGCGCACTGGAAGGTGAAAAATGGCATGAAAAATTCATTTTCATTAATTTTCATTACACCCACGAGAATATCTTTGCGCAAAATTCCATCTTCAGCTGTGGAAATTGTCGAAGAGTGGGAAAGATGGAGTAACAGAAATGGTTGGAAAAGTGTTGCAAGGACTCAGAAGCGCAGCCACAAGATTCGACAAGGTGGAAAAGTTTGTCTATATTCTCCCTGTGATGTGTATCTCTCCGGCACTCAAAGTGACTAAATAGGTTAAACAGCAAATTATGAAAACTTCTCAACTAGAATTCTCTGACGTTTTCCTACTTCTATGTTAGAAATGCAAATCTCTGTGGTTTCGAACACGTGAAGCCACTGAACATTGGTTAGAGAGAACAATATGTAATGAATCAGGATTTCCCCACTTAAAGCCCATACTTAAGACATCGACTTGTTAATAGTTCTCCGTCTGTGTGTCGACATTTCTCAACAGAATATCTTTATATGCCCAAACTTTTGTCAGTTGAAGCAATAAGAAAATTCTTTGAATTCTCTCTGAATACAAATACAATTGATTTACTTGATCAAATACTATTTTGTGTTTAAATACAACCGGAAAAGTTAAATTCTTTGTTTGCTCTCGGTTTTAATTCATTGGTGATTCAGTATTAAAGCAACAAACAAAAACATAATTCAAGGGATTGTTGGTGAAATGTAATTAATGCTCAAATAAAGACTCCATCTTCAACCTCTGCCTGGGTTGTTTTTGCAAATAGTGGGCAAATCATTAATATTGTTCTTACACCCTATGTACATTCCGCCATTGTGTTTCTTTGAAACTTCGCATGTAGATATTACACTTTGTCTCCTGTACGTATTCTCTTAGTTATTCCATTACCAACCACATGAGCCGGGCTTCCGGATCCAATTGATTCTCACATGGATTTAAGGACGCTCCATTTGCCTTGGCTTGCTGAAGCATGGCACGAAGTTAAAGTGGAATTGCAAGGTGGAAATGAGGACAATGACTAGAGGGGCCACAGAAGGGAAAGTTATAGAATCGATTTTCCTTTGTCACTCCTCTCGGTAGTCATGAAATGAGCAAGTGCCTGAGGACGTGTTAAATGCCACCAGACCACAATAAATCTTGGAGTGTGTGACAACCGTGGTTGCACGCAATTTTTCTTCTGGAGCCTCTTGCTCATTCCACCCAATCGAAAGCCCGACAATTAGAAGTTTACTGGCAAGTGCGTTGATTTTTCAAACCCACCTGAGAGCTTTTTCGACTGTAAATGTGCAAAAAGCTCTCATGCTCTGTGCTTTCGCGCAAAGGTTGAGAGTTGAGCTGCGAGAAAATTGAGAAGGATATTGATTTTCGGGGAGTTTTACTGTGTCACAGAGTCGGGAAAAGTCGCAAACAGAGAAAAGGGACAGACAGAAGAGCCGAGACCAGCTGATCGATACGTGAAATCTTGCAATGTTTTCCTATTGAGGAGAGCTCTCAGTGAAAATTGTATTTTTCAGCCGAAGGGAAAGTGCTTTGGGCCCTGAAGAGAGTGAAAAGTATTGCAATACGCTGATCTACAGTGTTGTGGGTGTGAGGGTCAGAGCGAGAGAGCGCGGAAAGCGACGGTTCATGTGCAAAAAGAATGTGTGGGGGCGAATCGGGCGAGAAGAAAGTCGGAAAGTGCTGGTAGTGCCGTCTCAGTCACACTCAGTGAGGGGAAATTCATTGAAAATCCTTCAATAGAGCTCCACATTCACCATTTTCGCAAGTAATTCACCACAGACTCTCGGTTGGGTGCTCCACGAAGCAACATACACATCGATTATTCACGGAGAATTGGGCTGTTTGGCTGGTGAAGAGTTGCAGAGTAGCGGAGAAGAAAGTGAAAACTGTCAGCAGTGTTGTTGGGCGTGAAGTGTGTGCTTTTTGCAGCCCATCATCCACAATCTCGGGTGGATAAGTTACAAGGGCGAAAAAAGTGTGGAGCTTTTCTCCAATCAACCCACCCCACGCCTCATTGATAGTGTGTCACTTTGTGTGTTGCTGAGTGAACTCTCTCTCTCTCTCTCTCTCTCTTCAATCAACCATTTTCCACCCGTTTGTGCTCAGCACCGTCATCCAATTAGAGCAGGAAATTTTCACTTAAGTCCACAGTGAAGTAATCTGCATTTGATAACAATGTAAGTGATGTAATAACCTCCGCCTAGCATCCCTTCCACCCTTCTCTGCGCTCACTTTCGCCCCCGCGGCGTGAGTGTGTGAAAAAAATGACTGTGAAAATTGCAAGACATTCCTCATCGTCTCAACAACATCCAGTGGAAATACGCACTCGCAACATTTCGCCTCATGTGGCGCCCTCGCTGTTCTCTTTGGCATCCAGCAAATGATATTCGAGAGGCTATATTTAGAACGCAGACATCGCCAGATCCTGCCAGGAGAACGTGGATCCCAGTTGAGGGCAGACCCGCAGAAAGAGTGTTGCGCAATCGGCGTGCTCCGCACGAATTGGGGCCCCCATGTTCCGTCCCCCGCACAATGCTCAGACGCGGAAAATCGATAGACATCGATGGTGTGTAAATGTTCATGATTTATGCCCTTCCACGACGACAGGAGCAGATGGTTGGGATTTTATTGGTGGACACGTACATGATTGTTGAATGAACACAGAGTGTCTCTTTCTCCTATCGACCGCTGAGCCTTGACACCTCCAATGATAAATCTCCGACAGATATTATCAATGCCATCTCGTACCTTTGAACGTGATTCACCGTGAAAGAATGTAGCGAGCTTTTGAGTTTGAATTTTCTGCGTCCTCGATGGATTGAGAAAGACTATTTTTCAGACATATTTTCCTGGTTAAAGTCAAACTCCTCGAGAATAACAACTTTTGGTTGCTAAAATGTTGACATAATTGTGTGAGGAAAATTAAATTGCTCCAGTGTTTCTGCATAATGCATTAAAAAGTTCTGTAGTATCAGCTTTTTAGTTTTGCTCTTCTGGATCATGTGTTGTAAAATTTCACGGGATAAAAGTTATGTAATGTTTTCCGTGCGCTGTCACATGAATGTCTGCCTCTTTTCATCTCTTCTCCTATGAATTGAAGGGATTTTTATTTAAAGAACTTCTCCTGTGCACATTGTTTATTACTCTCAAACGTTGTGCAAGCTTTAAAAAAAAGTTCAATTACAACTTGATTAGTTGTAGCGAAATTTGCTTGAAAAACACCTCTGCAAGACTTTGTATTAATCAACTTCAACCCGAGATATAATATAGTTTTGTAATTAAACAAGATCATATATCCTTCGGCAACTTTGTGAAGCTCATCGAAGACTTTTTGCACATCCGTCACTAGAACAGCGTCATTTATAACATGAATAACCTCACGAAGCGAAAACGATTCACTGCGATTTCTGCCCATGGAAACGTTTCCTTAAAGACTGTTATCATGTGTGTGAAACCTTAATATACCAAAAACGTTTATTTAACACGAGGGACACGTTTCCAACTCCCGATTAAGCTGTCATGCGTTAATCAGACTGTGAAAAGGGACTCTCAGGAGTGCTATTTTAAAGCTCTCCAAAACACAGTGTGTACGCAGCGCAATTTAGTCAAATGCTATCGTAAATTAGTCAAAATAAGCCAATTATATTTGTATGATTTGCTGCGATGGGCTGAGAAATGTCGTTACTTGTGGAATCGATGGCATGAATAAAGTATTGAGAATTGGAGTCAATAAAAGGTTTCCAACGGATGTCATCAACAGCTCGATGGATGGGAAATATCCACTCTTGTTAAACTGACCGAGAAATTCAATTTTCAGGAGATAGAGAGAGATAGAAAGAGGCAAAGATAATCACTCTTCGTAGGCGTAAAAATAGATAGTGCGAGAAAAGCTCCTCTTTTGTCCGTGGGAAAAGAAATAGGCAGCACGCTTGTGTGTGTGCTTTTCATCAATAATTGATGACAAATCGTAACACATTTCGAACTTGACTCACTTTTCCTCTTTCGGTGGTGCTTTTTCCTGTCAAATACGCTTCAAAGCAGATAATTCAGGTCAGTGTGTTTGACGAGACAATTCAAATTCGAGCACCTCAATTCCATTTCATACACAATTCCAAACCCGAACTGTGTGTAAATTCAATTTCATAGGCTGTGATTGCAATTACATTACTCACTATAAGATAATTATTGCAATCACAGAGCTCAATAGAAGCTTTCGCATTGAGAGATTTGTGTCTTTTCAAACAGTATTCGACCCTCTTCGTGATTCATCTGAGATTATTCACAGATTATCCATTTGTCTTTCTCAAGAACGTAGACACAGTGCCGAGAGATCCTTAACTCTAAACTCAATTATGCAAATAATATTGTGCAGCCAAAGTCAGCGTGATACCTGTTCCCCTCTACAAATACACCTCTTGCTGTAAAACACATTGAAACGTGCGCTCTCCGTTCAAAAGGATTTTTCTGTGTTGATTTGGAGAATGTATGAAAATATCCTCAGTATAATTGTCTGTTTGAATAACGCCTGATGGCCTTTCTGCCATGGCCAAGTGAGTGGCAGACGGAGCTTTCAATTAAAAATTCAACAACTGTGCTTTTCGTGTGCTTGCAGATGGCCGGCGGAGGTGATCCCAAGTGGCAGAAGGATGCAGCTGACCAGAACTTTGATTACATGTTCAAACTGCTCATAATCGGCAATTCCAGTGTTGGGAAAACGAGCTTCCTCTTCCGCTATGCTGACGATTCTTTTACATCAGCCTTTGTGTCAACTGTGGGCATCGATTTCAAAGTGAAAACTGTCTTTCGACACGATAAACGCGTCAAGTTACAGATATGGGTAAAATAGTCTATTTTCTCACATATATTCCCAAGCAATTAATTACATCATGACGCCATGACTACAGAGACGCTCAAGAAGTTTGTATTCTTTAGTTTGGCGAGAATATATGTGTTTTTCCACTGGTCAACACATAAATTTCATTACGATACTTTCTCGAGTTTCTCCCAACAATTGCAAATTGTAAAAACTATAATAGCCTTTTGCTATTGCCACTGTCAACGATCAATTGTAATTTGAACTTAAATGATATTCTCGCCGTACAAACACTTTCTGCACTCTACTGTATATTTAAGGGGGGAGAAAGAGAGTAAAAAGCAGGGACAAATTGGAAAAATAACTCTCCCTCGCCACCCTCAGCTCCCCGCAATGTTTGTGGTATTTGTTGTGATGTCGCATCAATGATTCAAAAGGGGAGAGAATGTATAGAAAAGTTCTCCCACGCGAGCAAAGTGAGAGATTCTTTAATCGATATGTGCAAAATATCGTGGAATGATAATGGAATTATTGAATTTTCAACTCTCTTATGCTTCGCACCGAAGCTTTAGGCTTTAGACGACGTGCACAAATTCAAATTGGCTCTCACTCTCGCCGGTGCTATTGAAAGCCCATGGGCGCTAATCTGTTTCATACATATACAAATTTCCAGGAATTTCCATTATACTGAGCACGTTAGAGTGGTGCATTCATAATATATTTATAAATTTCCCACTTAACAGTTAAACAAATTGACATTGCTCCCTTTTTTTACCGAACGCGCGCGCTGTTTTGCATCGTGTCAAAGGAGAAGTGAACGTTAAAAAGAATAAACAGAGAAACCTTGTCCCACTTTTCTCCCACCGAAAACCTCCAACATGAATCCTGCACACCGGAGAGGAGAAGAAGGCGAGAGAGAGCCTCGTATTTTCTTCAAAAAAGACCTCACAAAGCATGAAACTTTCGTGTGGAGAGGAGAGAATTTGATCCTCACAAGAAAGCGGCAGATTAATTTCCTCTGGCAAAAAAAAACTCTCATATCAATGTTGGCTAAATATACTATTTTTAGTGCTCGCGCTGAAAGGAGACATAATTTCCGTAAATTAATTGCTGTGCTCTGGAGTAAAACCCGAGAGATGAGACGGAATTGTTCTTAATAAGGATGTTCAGTCATTATGTAAATTTTATATTCAAACAAAGCGCCATTTACTGGACTAGAAAAAAAAATTTCTCACTGCGAAATTCATCTTGTCCTGGAAGGACAAGAATGGATTAATGGAACATTTCATGCACTGCTGGAGAGAAAGTAATTTTGACACTGAGCGCATAATTAGACAAATAGTTCTGGGCGTCATCTTGCTTCATTATACTTCAATTTGCTGATGGACTTCCTTCTCTGTGGATCTTTCAGGACACCGCCGGCCAAGAGAGGTACAGAACCATCACAACAGCGTATTACCGCGGAGCGATGGGATTCATTCTCATGTACGACATTACGAATGAGGAGAGCTTTAATTCCGTTCAAGATTGGTAAGAATCCTAAGAAGTCCAGCAGCTTTTATTCGAAAATGAAAGGACAGGGAGAAAATTCGGTGAAATAGGAGTAGAAGATGGCAAATTCCTTGCATTTGCGAGAATCTTCCGTCGCTTTGATAAAACACAGACGCTCCCCAGCACACGATTTGGTCTCTCTTTCCACTCCAACGGAGATCCTACTCAGATATTAAGCGCCTTGGACGACGTATAATTGCTTCTTAAGAATCTCCACTCGCATTTCATATTCAAACTTGAATGAGTTCGCAACTCTCGATCGCATCTCGAATGTTTCATCAGAGAAATGTACTGAATGACTTCTCTAGAATCATCAGCACATTTCTCGCTCATAAATACAAATTGCTTATTTCTGAAGCTTTCCAGTGTTCTGATTTTCCACATTTTCCATTAACTTCTTTACTACATATAGGAAGAAAAGTTAACTTATTTGCATTGGTGAAAGAATCCTTAAGATTCAAAGTAAAGTCAGGGCAAAAGCTCTTTAAGCAAGCTGATCCGAAAATGTTCATTTCGACATGTGAATCTACTAAAGTACGTATTATAACAAATTAATGTTGTAGGCTTGTAATAAAGCGAACACTTCTGCATAATAAAAGCGTTCTTAAAGTTCTAACGCGACATTATTGCCTGTGAAAGTTTCCACCAAAGACTTCTGACTTTAATCTCTTAAGCTCCAAGTCTGATTCCAACTTACAAACTGATATGCGAATTGAATTCATTAGAATACAAGTGTGTTTAAGCAATATCACGTTCCTTGTTACAAAATTGTCTGGCATTGAGGAGCTAGTTTGTGTGACAACTCGGGTTTATCTGCATGCATATTTAGATGGATAGAGAGCGATAGAGAGTATGATTAAAACTTGTAATGATTGCAGGGTGACTCAGATAAAAACGTACTCCTGGGACAATGCACAAGTGATTCTGGTCGGGAACAAATGTGATATGGAGGATGAACGTGTCATCTCATTCGAGCGAGGAAAGCAGCTGGCCGACCAACTCGGCGTGGAGTTCTTCGAGACGTCCGCCAAGGAGAATGTCAACGTTAAGGTGAGTGTTGTGGCGTTGAAGTGTTAACTGGAAAGTTGTGATTTGAGCGAGCGTGTGACGATTGCAGGCGGTATTCGAGAGGCTGGTGGACATCATTTGCGACAAAATGTCCGAGAGTCTAGACACAGATCCCACTCTCGTGGCCGGAGGACCCAAAGGACAGCGCCTCACGGATCCACCACAGGGAGCACAAAATGCCAATTGCAACTGTTAAGGTCTAAAGTAATTCACTGGTGTTCTTTTGTGTGAACTTAGGCGAGACATGACAAATTTCGGTGTTTGATGGACAGTCGCAGACACACATCTTAACCACCACCCCAAAAATTAGCCTCCTTTTTAGTCTGTAATCTTCGGTGTGGCAGCAAACTTGCATTGATTTCATCACACTTCCTGAACTCTTGCTCTTGCAAATGAATGTACTGTACGTGAACGTCACCACTGAACAGAGGAAACTTATAATCAGAATTTGGACTTTCACATTTGCACTATCATTGATTTTTCCCTCTGATATAAAAACTACAATGACAGAGTAATGATTCTATATCGTTCAAAATTGAGTGTTTCCTGGAAGATGAGCCGTTTTATTCTTAGATACGGAACGGAGAAGATAATGATCAGATGGCAGAAAATATCTCGTTGTTTACTCGTTTTAGGTGAGAAGAAATTTCTTTAAGTAGAGATGAAAGAAAAGGAAGAGAATCTTCAGAAAAATATAAATTATAATTATTATGTCTAATAAAATGATTCACTGTAGTGCTATAAATGTTGAATGATTAGGAAAAGCGAGTGGATAGAAAAAGAAAATCAGAGAGACTTCTAAGAAGGACACACTCATGGAAATCAAGAAAAAAAATGATGATAATTTAGTCTGTAGACAATAAAAGGAAAATTAATTTTCAGACAAGTGCAACAATAATGTGGCATATTTCTTAATCACTTTCTTTATCATTGACTTCTTCGGGAATGATAAGAAGAAGAAAAAAAAGTACTTTAACTTGCAGCAGTATTAAAGATAAACGGGAGATTGCAGATTTATTTTCATACATTAACAAAAGAAATATTAAGAAAAAAAAGAAGAAATTATTCGAGAAAGTACATATATAGAAGACATTATGTAAAAAATATTGTAAATATCTAAATATTGATGATAAAATTGTAGCAAAGTGACAGGAATATAAACTGCAAGTACACCGAGATAATGATTCAGTGCTGACACGCAAAAGAGGTTTTCACAACTGTATCCAGACATTTTCAAGAACCAAAACTGAAATTCTCTGAAAATAACTTTTTCACTAGCATAATTTGACAATTTATCGCATGAAAATCGATGATTGTGAGGACAAATCAAAAGAAGACCGAAAGAATTTCGCATATTAATCTCAGTGAGTCATTGATTTTCATGCAATAATTCCTCAAATATGTGACATATTTTAAAGAAGAAACAACATTTTCCATAAATGACAAAACATGAATGAGTAAAAGTCTTTAAAAAAAAATACCAAATATAAAAACTACACAAAGTATTGTAAAATGTATGAAAGCAGTAACATTTAAATTGTATTTATCAATAGAGCATGATTTTAGTCGTGAAGTAAAAAGAAATTTGAAGAGATGGAAAAGAACAAATTATGAAAAAATTATATGTGTAATTATTAATTATAGTAATCAATTATGATGAACACATTCCTTCACAATCTAGTCTTAGATGTAAATAACACCCAGGAATTATCCTTATAATTTTGTGATCGTTATTGTTGAGTAAGCTGTATAAAAAAAAAAGTTACAAGAAGGTGTAATTAAAATGTTATATTTTAATGGCGCACACATCGAGAAAACAAAAATACTGTTACATTTTGATGAGAAACCAGCGAAAGTTGGCGATATTGGAGAGATAATTTCTCAACATTTAGCTTCTTACGATGATTTTGCTTCGCTCAAGAAATCCTTCTTTCCCCGCAATCTTCCTTTCAAGTGGCAAATAAATGATGACAAGAAAGAGAATCTCTTTACACGTGCCTATAAACACGACGTGTATCAACTAATCTCTTAATCTTAACTGTATAACAACAGATTAATCATCAAGGAATTTCACTATACGATTTTTGAATTTGAGAGAAAAACCAGAAAACAACTCTTTTCTACCTTATCACAATCATCAAGACAAGACAAACATTAATCGCACACAAATTTTCCTCTCCTTGATTTCTCTACTTTCAAACAACGGGAAGAATGCACGCCTCAAAGGAGGTGTTTTTGAAGGTTTTCCCATGAAAAACTTGGTATAAAAAAAATTATAAAGGAAGGATAAACAGTAAGAGTTTGAAAAACGTCAATCGCTTCGTTGTATTAAACAAAGGAATTAAATATATACTTAAACGTAATATTTCAAATTGTACGACATGACAAGAAAAAAACTATAAAGAACATTTATCAGGAAATTCTAAGGAGGTAAAATATACCAACATATTATGCAAGAAAGAGTAAACAATGGAACAGCATAGTCAATGTAGAAGTACATGGAGAAGAAAAAAATATTAATTAATACATTCTGAGGCATGAAAAGGATGAAAATTATTAAATAAAAAAAAATATCATAAATATTATAATTTGATTGTTGTCATACAAATACATATTAAAAACAAGTATATTACTGAAAAAGTATAAAAAAAAACATAAATGTATTACCAAGAATGAAATAAAATTTCAAGGAAATTGGACAGTAAATTGAGTTCTGCATGCTTTTTCCACTGCCAACATTCTACTGCAACACTTCGGAATATTGCCAAATACGCAGGTGAAAAGGACATCACAGAGATGGAACCAAGGGGCAAATCACAAGGCGACTTTTGAGGAAACTTAATGTTCTCTAATCAAAAAATCAATTATTTGAGTGAAATAATCAAAAAATGATTATTTTCTTTCTTATTATTTTATTATTGAAGTAAATAATATAAAAAAATGAATATTTTCTCATCATATTTTGAATAAACAAATCAAAAAGGAATTCTAAACTAAAATTACTTTAAAATCTCAATAATCAAATTCTGAATTAAATAATCAAAAAATGATTATTTTCCAAAGTAAAGTTGAGAAAAAAAACACAAATTTTGAATGATATAATAAAAAAAAAATTTTCCAAAGTAAAATTGAAAAATATCAAATTATTCAATTATATGCAAAATTTGATTACATATATTCAGAAAATAATCAAAAAATAATTCGAATTTGTATGAAATAATCAATTTTAAATCAAATATTCAGGAAATAATAAAAAAAATCAGAATCTTGTACGAAATAATCAAAATTTGAGCAATAATCACAAATAATCGAAAAAAAAGATTGAATAATCACAAAGTTAATGGTCTCAACTTGCGGAGTGATTTTCCCCTTTGATGGAACATTCAGAAACATATAAACTGAAGAATGACCTGCAGAAAACACACCAGAAATGAAAGAAAACGGATCTGTTGGGAAATTGTTTAAAGTTTTATTGTGTATATATAATATACAAATATAAAATCACAATTTAATATATTCTGTTCGTCTCATGTCTTTTTTTTTATCCTGAATTCAGCAGTTTGAGTATGACAAAGGAATTTCTTACAAACAAACAAAAAAAATTGCATGAGTTTCTCTCATCTTCGTTATATTAAATAATACTCTTTTTATGCCTTCGCAACATGCAATGAGGGAAAAGCAACTCATTCATAATGAATGTCCGATGGAATGTTTTATATGAATTTCCTATTCTCAGGACGATGAATAGGTGAGGAGAATGTCATTGCACACAAAGGGAATGTGAAATTAATGTACACATTTTATGCTATTTTTTTTCACTTCGCAGGGATGAAAACTCAGCTCGTGAGCTTTTGCAAATCTATGAAAATAAGTTAATTAATTTTTCTCTATACATCATTCGCATTAACTAAACTCGAGGCACTCTTTTACTTTCTCTTTTATGTTCTACCAATTGTAGAAAAAATTGGAATTAGTGAGAGAAAATTCAGGGAATGTTACGAATTTTTTCGCCATTTAGCAAGATATACACAATTGGGAAAGCTATGGATATTTTCCATTCTTTTTGGGGTGTTGCATAAAAAGCAGAGTTATAAATATTTTATGTTACGTCGCAAAAAATGGACTGATTTCAGTCACAATTGTAACCACAAGTGTTTACTTTTAAAATGGAAAAGTTCTTGGAGAAAAGAGATTATACATTGAATTGTCTGAGCAATTTCCATTAAATTAGAGAGTCTTAGAAATTAGTCTATCGTTCTTAAGTTCTGTTCACAATCCAGACCTAAAATTCTTATCTATAGCAAGAATTCCTTCGATATCATCGTCACACGCCTTACAAGGTCCTTAAATGCAGTCAGTACAAATGTATATTTACACTTTATGTTCACCACTTAACTAGAAAAAAATGTCTACAAGTAGACCTAAAACAAAAAATTCCTCTAAAATAATACACAATAAAATGGCAATGTATTGACAAAAAGAAATTCTTTTTTTCTCTCTTAAACTTGTGTGAAAAATGCTAAACAGTCAAAATGGCTGAGAGAATTTTGTGTCCACAAATTCTGTACAAATTCTCTCGGGATGTTACAATTAAACAGTCCTTAAAAGTTAATTAATTTACTCATTAATGATCATTACACTGTCGTTTCAGCGTCATCAGTAGCCTTCCTGTTTGGCGGGTCCAAATTTGTTGACGGAAGCGGCAAAAAGGACGAGAAAATACATACATTAAATTTTTCATAGCTCCAAATTGAGCTCCAAAGTGAGAGAAAAAAGCGAGACACAATAAAAGCCACTCGTGGAGTTTTCACTCAACATTATTTCCACCCCCAAGAGAGTGCGAATTTTTCCAAGGTCCCACAAAAGCTCAATTTGCCATCAATGTCATGCCCTGAACTTTCATGCATTTTTTATCACCACTCGAAGCCGAACATGGAATAAATTAGCAAGACTCAAACGCACTCAAATTAATTCACTCGCACTCAAATGTACAAAAGGCGCTAATCACTCGGCCTATTTACCTCAGATCTGTGATGATGTGCAGAGAATCGCAGGATGGGATGATAGTTTAGTGTCCCCAGACCAGCCATGTTAATGATTATTTGTAATTTTTTTTTCATGTGTGATGTTAATGTTATGACATTGAGAAGAGAAAGGAAGAAGGGACAAAACACGATTTTTTTTTCTTTATAATTTCTACATATGTTTTGGTCTTGTCCAGCACCATCTAAAATGTTTGTAACACAGGAAGTATTAGAGAATGTTAGACAAGAACATAAGTCAAAGAACTACATTTCACAGAGATCCTGATGAGAATTGCACGCTAAACATAAGGCAAGAATCAGAGAACGGAAATTAAGGGGCGATTTGGCAACAAACGAGTTTGCATTATTAAAAAGGATGAGCGATGGATTATTCTTATCCACCTAGATTAAGGAGTTCTGCTTCATTAATCAAGAAGTCATTTCTTATTCTCTCTTAATGCAGCTGATTGTCACCAGAAAATGAGTGTAAAAACTGCCAATTTATCCCTGACACATAAAGATTATGTTCAATTTCCTGTGAGTTCAATTCAAATGGCAAAGAATTGTCACATTCAGACTTCTTGCAAAAAAAACTCGAACTGAAGTGTGATTCAGAATTGCATTTTGCAGAAACTTCAATCCTTTCGCATGAGCTTAAAGCAGATCTTAAAGCTCTTATCGTGAGACTTCAGTGGCAATTCTCGTCCGGAACTCTCTGTGTGTGTGTTTGTGAGAGACTCAAGAACCAGAACAAACAATAAACTTCTACGAGGATGCCAAGGATGTCAAGGATGCGAACAGCACTTACTCGCTCGTGTCTGTGATGCTCGTGAGCGGGGCGAGAGGCTGCATCGGGGCCACAGTCACACCTCCAGCCGGCGGCGAGGAGGCTCTCGAGCCTTGGCGCGACGACAGACGACTGGATGGCAGGACGCCAGGATTGTTGATGTCATTCACCCCGTGGTGAAGGCGATTCACTGTCATGGAGCACGTGGAGTGGTCCTCTTCAGCGTTGAAGGGGAATTTGTACGAGTTCTTGTCCGACGTCTCGGACATGCGATCTGAATGGTAGTCCACAGCGCGCTGCTGAAAGAAGCATTTAACTCTGAACAAGAGAACTTCGAAGGACATTCACTCTCAGTCACGTACTTGATAATCGTTCTTCAGCATCGAGTGCATGCCGTGCATGGACTCTCCGTAGAGTGCGGGCGATTTGAGGGCGTAGTGGCTCTCGCGCGGACTGTACAATTCGGCGGCAATGTGCTCCTTGGACATGTAAGGCGATCCCGTCTGGCTGCCGAGATATCCGTGAGTTCTCTCGTGGAGAAACGGTGGGTTCTCGTGATGATTGTGATACGGCCGAATGTGATTGACAATCTGCGTGGATCCGTAGTCCTTCTCACTTCCCGACGCGTACGGCACTTTGTTCTGCATGTACGCACCTGTGTCGTAGTCCCCATAGTTGTCCTGGTAGTCCTTCTTCCTGCCATAGAGACTTTCTCTGTCCATCTCGTACTTGTACCGCTCATTGTCATACAACTGAGCTTCCGTCGACTGCAGATTGTAGTTCTCGGCGATGTTCTCCAGGATCGACGGCGGCATGTTCATCTTGCTGTGCGGATGAAGGTAGGATGTGTCCGTGAGATCTGGATTTGGCAGTGGATTCGGCGAATTCGCCTTGTGCGGATGCACTTCATTGTCAGATCCTGTGTCCTGAGACCATCGACCGGCATTCGTGGGTGTCGGAAGATAGGATTCAGGCACTTGACTCGACCAGCGTGGCGCATACATTGCCGGCTTCAGGCTGGGAAAGAGCTGTGGACTCTGCACGACATTCAATTCAGGCGGCGTGGAAGCTGTCACGTGTTCTGTGATGTTGGGCAAGTAAGGAGTCACACTCACGCCCGCACTGCGATGGGAATTCGTGGTGTTTGCACCCACGCGAGACTCGTCCTCGTCACTCGAGTGACTCGACGCCAGATCTAAGCTTCGTCCGTCTGTGTCAGAGCCTGAATCTGAATCCTTTCTTCTGCGATATTTCTCTGCAAAAAGACACGATATCAATTTGCATCCTCAATTGAACACACACACAAACTAACTTACCACCTTCCTTGTGACGTCCTTCATATCCTCTCATGTAGTTCGGCACGTCGCTAGCAGAGTTGTAATTGCTCGTGGAAGTTGAAGTGTGTCTCAATTGCCCATCGCTCCGATAAGGACTCGAGCTGGTCTTGGCTGTGCTTCTAGATGTCGTCGAAGAAGCACTAATGCCAATATTCCTCCTCGCAGTTTCATAACTTCCCGCCAGAAAGCCACCCGGACTCCGCGGATTGACATTCTGCGAACTGCTGCTCACGACAAGCGAAGAGTCAAGAAGAGGCACTTTCCTGCCCATGCAGCGCAAGAAGGTGCGATTGAGATTCTCCCTCACGCGCTTGTTGATGATGCAGTAGCCGATGAGGCAGAAGATGGCGTGCAGGAACACAACAATGCACAGCAGCACGTTCAGCAGCTGGGAATTCTCCGACGCCGAGAGCACTGCCAACACCCACATCACTCCCATCAGTGGCAGCGAGACAACAGAGAGCCACAGCAGAGTCCGCAGATTCCCGAAGCCCAGCACGTGATCCTTGAGCGTGAAGGCCGCCTTCACCGACACGAAGAGTATCAGGAGATTGAGCACGGACATCCCAGCAATCGGTCCCACAAGCCACCAAACGACCGCCTCATAAATCGACAGCCAGCAGCTGAAAGGCAATAAAGAGGCAGTGTGAATTTTGAGGAGCGACCGTTTGTCATTTCACCAGCGAACTCACAATAGACTGTTTCCGTATTCATGAGCACGCACGCCCACCGAAAGACCGACGAGAATCGCGGGGGCGCCGTAACCCAGGGAGAAGTAGAATCCCATGGGGCCGTGATTGATGTCACGCATCTCAGTCAGCATTCTGTACAGATGAATACAATCCACCGTTGTCCACGCGAAGGCCGCCAGCCAAGCGTAGTGAAGACTTATGGCGATCAATTTGCAGGGGAACTGCAAGAAAGAAAGGCTCATTAGGCACAGCAAAGTCTCTTTGCAGGATGCTCGAAACTCACCTCATTATTCAACAAATCCTTTCGCGCTTGCATCGTGACGAAGTACAGAAGCTCAGCCACGAACACGCACAGCACGAGATTCTGATGAATAGTGTTGGAATTGGTCTGCATTCCTCTCAAGAGAGCCAAGGCAATGAGGACAGCCAGAAGAATCGGCAGTGAAATCATGAAGGCAGAGTAGGAAGAGATCTGAACCAGGAGCGAAGGTTCAGGCACATCTTCCGGATCGATAACATCCACGAGCACAGCATAGTTGGACACGTGCGTGCATGAGCAGTTTATGACCAAAACCGACGCTTCGGCGACATTTTCATAGTCGGGAATCTCCGTTTGGCATCCAATGCGTGTCCAGGAGTTTGTGAAGCTGTTCCATCGCACACACTGAGGATTGCTGCGAATCCCAAAGCCACTCTTCTCAATGTTGAGCCACATCTGGATCTTGATAGGCTGCAGAAGATGCGGAGAACCCAGCGATCGATAGATGAGACTGGAATCCTTCTCGCTGTCGGCGGACAAATTGACCTCTCTTGGCAGTTCTCGCTTGAAAATCCTCCTCTTGTCCTCGTAAATTGCCTCATTTTCACCATGAACTGTCTCTGGTTGTCGCTTATCCTGCTTCTCGAAGTCAAAAGGCGATTCGCTAGGCAACTGAAGACGGATTTCTGGGGTGTTTTCCAGATTTGGAATAGGTTCGTCCATATCATGGACCATTATTTTGATCTCCTCATTGAGTTTAGGCACCTCTTCGTGATGCGTTTCCATCAGTTCGACATCATTGGAGGGAATCTTGATGATATCATGCAGATCAGTCTTTTCGGATTTCTTCACGGGCTCCTTTCCGTCCTTCGTGCTGGGCACCAGAATGGCTAGCGAGAGAATCGGACTGGCTATTTGCACATCAACGCCCCAGCGTCGAGTCACGGTGTCATCGAAGTTGTCCGGGAAGAGATTCCCAGCATCTTTGTACTGAGCATAAGAGACAATGGCTCTGTATTCAGACACTGAGTGTGTGATTTCGTCTCTTCCGGGCGGCGCAATTCCCAGCATATCCAGCGGAATCTGGATCTTCGTGTAGGGATCGAACTTGGATTTGTCCTGAATGTAGTTGTTGTACTTCGGGAATGACAGAATCGGCATCTTCTGCCGGGAGGAGTGCTGCAGGAAAGAACTGGTGTCCGGCAAGATAACACTCTCAGTCGTGTACTGATGATTCTTGGTCACTTTGTTCCTGTGATACTCACTCAGTTGCTGCGGTTCGTAGCCAAAGAGCGATTCTGCCGTGACAATATCCAATCCCAGAACCATGTTCTGCTGGACAATCTCAAAGGGATTCGTGTAGGTGTCGTGCTGCGAGCGCGCCAAGACGACCATGTACTTATTGAAGGCATCCACGAGATCATTGGGACCGCGCATTGTGAGACTGGTGAGCTTCTTCCACTCACTCGTGTACTTCTCATCCAGAATAACACTCGCGCACTGCACGAGATTGCGAATGAAGTCCTTGTCTTGACTGTGACTGAGATTCAAGCCACTCTGCATCATCTCATAGTTGATCAGCTCATGGAGAATGCCTTCAGTGACCAGCAAATCCGCTCCGTAGAGACGATCATGGATGAATCTGAACTCTTGCGTGAGATAATCCATCTCGAAGTTGTCACTCCAAATGTCCTCCTTGGGCAAAAGAGAAGTCTCAACGGCATAGGAAGTGACAGAGATGTTCAATGGTGTCTTGCCACCACTCGACAACCCAACAATCTCACAAGCTTGCTGAAGACTCGAAGCCATCTTCACCGCCACGAAGGTATTGAAAGCCAGTTCTTCCTTCTCAATTTGCGACAATTGCTTCCTGAGTTCGATGAATGGCTCAGAAGTGCAATTGAACATGTCCGGATGACTCCAACCGTTGGAATCGCACACCCTGAAGCCCTTCCCTCGGGCCGGAGAGGGACAATTCTCTGTCGCTGTGTGCCCTATCGGAGTTCTGGGCCACCAGAGACCAGCCGAAAAGGATCTTGGACAGGCGTCGTACACAACTTCACAGCCATTCAGGGTGACTTCTGCATAGGGATTCGAGCACGAGTCGCATCTCCTCCCAATCACACCTTCGCGACACTCACACTGGCCGGTCAGGCGATTGCAGGATCCGCTGTAGGATCCGATTGAGTAGCAATCGCACGGCAAACAAGCGGTCTCATTGATCGGTTGGTAGTGATTCTCCTTGCAGTAGCACTGGCCAGTGGTCTTATTGCAGTCCGGATGGTAGCCTTGCTTCAGATTGCAGCGACAAGGACCACAGCCGCGCTCTCCCCACCAGCCGCCCGGACAAGGCTGCTGAATCTGCAGCTCGCAGTACTCTCCGTGGCTGAAGGTCGAATTGCACTCACAATGATATCCCTTCTTGTCCTCGCTGTCCACCCGACAAACTCCTGAACTGCACGGCTTCACCGTGCAAATGGGGGCACATTCTCTGCCCACGAAGCTCGACAGACATTCGCAGTGCGCCTCATCCCAGCTGCTGACGCACACTGAGTGATTAGGACAAGAGTCTGGACACTGAGCGGCAGAAGAGCAGCCATCAATCACATTTTCTCTCATCGTTGGGCGATTCAGCACTGATTGCGGTCCTCCAATTCTCACGTCCTGGATGCATCCCTCATAGTAGCCCACATTTGCCAGACTAGGAGTCACTCCATCTGGTCCACCGATGATAATCTTGCCGACATACAATCCCTGGATCTTCTGCGACATTGGCACAACTCCTGTCCTCTGGCCGTAGTCTATTGCGAGTGATATCTCCATTCCCATCCACTTAATCTCAATCCTGTGCCACTCTCCATCCGAGATGCTCACTCCGGACAGAAACATCGCCTCTCCGTTGTAGGTGTAGTGAAGAATGCCACCTTTGAGACTCACAATGGCCGAACTGTTCTGTCCGACCTGAATCTGCATTAAGAAGGCATCTTTCTGCCTCGTTCGGATGGACAAAGCCGTGAGCCAAGGCAACTGAATAGGCCTCAAGAGTGGGTTGAAACTCAACACTCCATCTCCAGCGAATCTCCATGGCGGTGGCACGGATTCCTGACATGCATTCCCTGTGAATCCTTCAGGACACTCGCACAGATGAACACCCCATCCTTCATGACAAGTCGCCCCATTGAAGCACGGTTCGGAGGCGCAAGAAGGCGCCTTCTGCGGACATCCTGCAACAGTTCCATTGTCCGCCACGTAAGAATTCAAATCCACGAACTTGTGATCGATGTAGAAGTCAGAAATGCATCCGATATAGTCATGTGATTGTATCTGGAAGTGCGCAGGAATGCGTGGAAGTCCACCAAGTTGAAGAGGTCCTGTGAGATCGAGAAATCTATGGCAAGATTCTGTGAGTGATGTGCATCTCTTGTCCAGCTTCAGTGTGGTCTGATTGGCACAATTCCAGCGATCTCCGAGATCTCCACTGAGAGCCAGAGCAGTGTCACACTCATCCAGAGCCAGAATGACAGTCCTGTTGAAGTAGATCACTTCAACGGTGTGCCATTGTCCATCGGACACCTTCTCCTCGCGATTAACCGTCACACTCTCGACATTATTGCCCAGGGAGTAGGAAAAGACAACTTGTCCAGAGAGAATCTCCAGAGCAATGAAGTCATGAAGCTCATTGTACCTTCCATTGTAGAGCAGAAGACCATTCTCGTGCACAGTGGCGAATTTCAACTTCAGCGTGAATCTGTGCCTCTGCTTCAGACTGTTGAATGTCAGGAAGGAGTTCTTGGAGAAGGATCTTGATTTCAGTTCGCACGTGGATGTGTAAGGTGGATGATGAGGACTAATGTTGCCATAAATGCACGAAAAGCCGCCTTCACACACTTCAGCTGTGCACGGCGGCATGGATTTCACCTCAACACCGCAATCTGCGCCCGTGAATTCCTCTTTGCACACGCAAGTGTAGCCACCTTCCCGCCTCACGCACGTTCCACCGTTGCGACAGGGATCCGAATAGCACAGATTCACTTCTGTGTCACACAAGTAGTGTTCTCTGCTCCCTGTGAAGCCCTCCGGACAGCGACAGGCGAAGGTGTTGACCGGATAAATTGGGCGGAAGAGAACAGTGTCGCTGTGAATGAATCCCGAGGCATTGCCGAACTTCAGGACTGTGAGACACTCTTCATAATTGAGACACGGCTCACGCACGCAGATGTTATCGTCAAAGGGAAGTACATGAACAGTGGCAAGACGCGCCAGAATAGCACGATTGAGATAAACCCTCTCCTGAAGATACTGTGGCGAGTAGAATTCCTCGTGCGACACATCCGGACGCCTCGCCGAGAAGCTCACATTGAGAATCCTCGACTGAACATCTGTGTCATCCTGAATGGAGAAAATGAAGATGTTCTCCTTCGGACAGGGAATGATTGCAGCCAAACCGTCCAGGAAGAAGTTCAGCAGTGGCGATAAGAATGCCTCCTCTGTCATCTCATCGAGTCGCACTGTGACTGAATTGAAGAGCATATCCTCAGTTATTAGTCTCACCACCAACTGCATGATTGCCTTGGCTTCGTTGATGCCATCCATTACTGACACTTCCATTGTGGCGAATTTAGGCACATTTGTATTCAACTGCGGACTCAGCGTCAATCCACCTGTTGATGAATTCAATCTCACGAGATTCGCATTATTCCCGGACAGGATTTTGTATTGGAGTTTATCCGTAACGTCAGCATCAAAGGCTGGAATCCTTCCAAATTCTCCCGCTGGGAAGCAATCCCGGAAATTGTTGAAGATCACTTGGAAATCCTTCAGAACTGGCGCATTGTCATTCACATCCGTCACGAGAATCTCCACGTGAACATCATTTCTCAGTGGTGGACTTGCAGCTCGAATCACAAGTTCAAACTTCTTCCTCGGCGACTCATAATCCAATTCTGTCAGCGTCACAAGCTGTGCTCTCTCAGATCCTTGACGCACGATGAGATTGAAGGCATTCGAATCATCACCGCCGATTATGGAGTATTGAACAAGAGCATTCACTCCCTCATCCGGATCGTGAGCGTGAATCTCCCCAACGACTGAGCCAACGGGAGAATTCTCGGCCACATAGAGAGTGATCTTGTCAGATTCGAATGTCGGCGGAGAGTCATTGATATCCTCAAGTTTCACTTGAACCTCAACAGAACTGCTGAGCGACGGCGTTCCACGATCCACAGCAATGGCAGTGAGATGATAAACAGGCACACTCTCTCTGTCCAATCCCTTGTTCGTCCTGATGATTCCCGATGTCGGATCCACCACAAAAGATCCATCTTCCTTGTCCTTATCGCTGAGGGCATATTTTATCCTACCATTTATGCCCTGATCGAGATCAGTCGCAGCAATCTGAATCACTGATGTCCCAATGAGAGCATCCTCAGGAATTGACGATTGATACACCGGAACTTTGAACACTGGCGGATTGTCATTGACATCAGTCACAGTGATCTCAACATCTGTCGTGTCACTGTGCGATGGATTGCCTCCATCCTTCGCCGTAACCGTGAGCAAATATCCACTGATTGTCTCTCTGTCCAGCGGAGCATTCGTCACCACAGCTCCCGTTTGAGGATTCACGCTAAACGGCTCAGCGGCGCCTAATCCATTTACCGACTCATCATTCAGTGAGTACGTAATCTGCGCATTAATGCCCACATCGCTGTCCGTGGCGGAAACCACCAAAACCGTCGTTCCCACAGGAGCGTCCTCAAACACCGAAGCCGTGTACGGAGCATTCTCAAACACAGGCGCAAAATTGTTCGCATCCGTGATGTTAACATTCACCATGGCAGTGTCTGTTCGTCCCCCAGAATCCGTCGCTGTGACGGTGAGAACGAATCTCCGCTCCTGCTTATAGTCCAGAGGCTGTGCAATTGTGATCAATCCTCTGCCATTCTGGCTGGTGATGGCGAATCTTCCTCTGGTATTCCCCGACGACAGTTCATAGTGCAACCGAGAGTCCTCATCAGGATCCGTCGCTGTGACTGTTGTGACTGGCGTCCCAAGTGGCTGATCCTCGCCAATATTCGCCTCGTAGTACTTCGGACTGAACACAGGATCATTGTCATTAACGTCCTGAATGGTCACCACGACAGAAGTACTTGCTGACTTGGGCGGAATTCCTCCGTCCATCGCCACAACCTGGAAGTTGTATCGCGACTGTTCCTCCCGATCGAGAGTTCTTGTCGTATGCACCCAGCCAGTCCTCGGATCCACAGCCAACGGAAAGTTGTCCTCTCTCTCCAGGATATTATACGTGATCTCGGCATTCTGGGCCTCGTCTGAGTCATAAGCCTGCACGCGAACTATATTGTATCCAACAGGAACACTCTCCAGGACGGCTTCTTGGAATTGCGAAGTGTAGAATCTCGGCGCGTTGTCATTAGCATCCAAGACGTTGACCAACAATTGCGTTGTGTTACTCCTCGAAGGACTTCCGCCATCCTGAGCACGGATTACGAGCCGATAACTCCGCACGTTCTCGTAATCCAGTGGCTTCACCAGCGTCACATCGCCACTCAGGGAGTCAATGGAGAATTGTGACTGCGTGTTGCCGCCGATAATGGCATATCTGGAAAGTAGACGATAAAACTATAACATAAGAGGCAAAGAAAAGCATTTACTACAATCAGCAATAGGGAAATCTGCTGATAGATATATTGACTAATTTATGGCTTTTCAATCGGATTAAGTCTCTATATTTGTGAAACAAATTAATTGTGCTATTTATCTTTCCACCAGTGTATGGGAAATTCATTGAATAAACAAATTTTATATAGAAGAACTGCAACCGGTAACGTATTTTTTAATCTTTTTCACGTCATTTGCATATACAGAAATTATGAAATAGAAACTGTATCTCATGCACAAGCATGATTGAGCAATAAGAACGGTCGACCGTTAGAGTGTCACGAGTAGAGTGACTTGCTGTCCGGAGCGCAAGAAATTGAGTGTTAATCAATGTTTTAGTGGATCACCGAACTCACCTAATCGCCGCATTATTCCCCTGATCAGCGTCGCTGGCTTTGATGTGCGCCACCACGTTGTTGTCGCCCCATTGATCTTCACTCACTTGAATCGTGTACGTCCTCTCGCTGAACTGCGGATAGTTGTCATTGTCGTCCAGCACTTTAACCACCACAGTCGCGGTGGCCGACTTCCGCTCGCTCTGCGGCGACGCCATGTCCGTGGCACTCACGATCAGCGTGTACACTTCCGCCGTCTCTCTGTCCAGTGCGCTGCGTGTCGAGATCACGCCACTGCGTCCATCGATGCGGAACGTCTGGGCGTCCTGCTCGTGCGTCGTCACGCCACCGCCCGTGACACTCTCGATCGCGTACTCAATCTCGGCGTTCTTCCCGAAATCCTGATCCGTCGCACGCAGCGTGATCACAGTGGATCCAACTGTTGCGCCCTCGCGAATGGACGCATCAAATTGCTCCGCCTCGAACGTGGGAGAATGATCGTTGCAGTCCAGCACATTCACCTGCGAACAGCAGCAATGTTAGGTGACACAGAAAAAAATTGGGAGAATGTCTAATTTATGGTTCTATTCAAATTGACTCTTTTCAACAGGTCACAGCCTCAATTCAACATCACGGTGACAGTGAGAGGTTTCAAATTACAATAAAATGTGTGAAAAATCACATTCGGAAGTTCATTTCTCTTCAACAAATTGAAAAATACTCATTATACTATTAATTACCTGTAGAGTTGTTGTTCCAGAGCGCGGAGGAAAGCTGTCATCCGTGGCCACAACTCGGAAGTAGTGAACATCCATTAGTTCCCTGTCTAAACTTGTGGCCGTCGTCACAACACCTGTTCTCGAGTCCACTTTGAACATCGATTGCGACCGCGAGTCCAAGAGCGAGACCATTGAGTACACGACAGGTGAATCCTCGGGATCTCGCGCGCGCACTGTCGTCACAATTGCATTCGGCGACTGTTCCTCCAGCACAGAAGCCAAGTAGAGCGCCTGTTCGAAGTACGGACTCTGATTGCGCAGCTCTCGTCGAACACGCCTGGCGATATCAGTATCATTGAACTCCTGATGATGATAGACAATCTTCAGCCGATGATCCGCATCCACGAGATCCATTCTATTGCATCGCACACTCAGCGTCACGATGACCTTCCACATTGGCTCCAGAATGCAGTGATCTTGGCTGGCCACGAGATCGCCATTCTGCTGCTCAATCTTAAATCTCTCATCGCCCACATCGAGGAAGGTCACTTTGCACGATTGCTGCACAGATTTGGGCAGAAAGGCGCTGAGAGAGTTGATAAATTGGCTCCTCTTCAGACAAATCTTATTCCACTTGTCCGTGTTGTGAATGGCATAGGAAGCGTAAGTCTCAGAAATCCACTGCTTGGCATCTGTAATCTTTCTGTGCATTCGCTGATCGAGAGACTCCTCGAGATGCCTTCGCTTCCGATTAATAATCTCATGGCGGATGTTATTGGCCGTCTGACTGTCGAAGAGAACATCACCTTCGCGGAATGTGCGGTAATTTGTGGCATTTTCCCTCTCATCAGCTCTGAACATCCACGGGAAGTCATTCCTGTAGAAGTGCAAATTACTTCCTCGATACTCGCCATAGCTGCCAAAGTCATCATCCTCGAAGCTGCGTCGCTCTCGATTGTGATAATCCTCCTCGAAAGCCCTGCCAAACAGCTGAAGACGCCTGTCGTCGTTGCACTCCCGCCCAGAAACGAACACCCTCAGCGGCAAGCTGTAGTAGTCAATGCTGCGCAGCATATTCGACGTCGAATCCACATAGAATGTGAAGAGATTCGGATAGTAGATGCCATCGCAGGAGAGCGACTTCTTGAGACGAATCTGGCCATTCTTGCTGTCCACAGCCAGAAGATGATGCACGAAATTGGCACTGCGATGAGTGTTTATCTTGTAGTGCCGCTCGGAGCCCAATTTGTAGACCGACGCATTGAATATCACCGTTCCGGGTGGCGCCAATTCATCCACAATCACCAGATAGGCCGCCGCATGTTGGAAAACCGTGGCCAGGAAGACAATTCCGAGCAGGAAACTTGCCAAGCAGGACATTCTCACACACACACCTGACAGTCTCCTAACTCCACAGTACAAATTTCCGCATGATTGTCCTGAAAATATGCCCAAGAAAAGGTGACAATTAATTACCCAGAAAAATATTTCAGCACAGAATTTTAATTACGCAATAAATTCAACCACATCCCTTGAGAAACGCGTCCACCCTTCACGTCTTCATTTCATCCCCACTAAATTGGAATTTCCAAATTTGCCCCGCACAAACTCTTGCAAGAAGGGTGCGAGAGAGAGAGACTGGCAAAATGGATTGTCATAAATTTCTCCTCATTTAACACAGATCCGAGATATCAAAATTTTTATAACCATGATACTCTCTATACTCATAATATTTATTTCGTGACAATTTTCTCAGCTTGGCAGAGTGCTGAAGAAAAAGAACGCTGATAACGACAGTCTCCAGAGACCATAAAATGGCCTCTTTTCCCATTTATAATGAAAAGATTCCTTTACAACACTTTATGACCACCTTTGGGCCATTTCGTGGGTCATTCCACTAACAATATCTGTGTGTTTTCTAGTCACTTTACTCACATATGCAAATTAAGCCCTTTTCAAATGCTTAAGTATGAATTATTCTTACAAATTTGTTGTAGAATGTTGACAACATTTTCAATTTAGCAAAAGTATGCGGGCTGTTAAATTACACACACACCGTTTGCAACATATTAAAATCTTCAGTGCCGTGTAAATTTCTTAGAATGTAAATTTGATTTCAATTTTATTTCGCGAAATACATGAGATCGCATACTTATTACTCTAATTATCTATATGGAAATTAATACCATAACTTTTCTTTACGCATTTTAACCTGACCTGTGTGAAAAAGAAGCAGCAAAGAATTAAAAGCTCTCACAACTGATAAAAAAATATTGTACATAACAGTTCCCGAGTCTCTTTCTTTCCTACACGTTGGCCAAAATTAGCAAATTTAAATGAAGCAAGGAAAATACACCTCTCGCGAGATGAGTGTGTTGAATTTTATGACCCCGTCGCGCCCACAGTCGCAGAAGAACTCCCATAACACAATCAATGGATTGTATATGAACCCCACTAGCCTGGATGTCTCTGCCATGCACTGGCAAATTGAAAAAGGGCATCAATTGCGCAAAGGTGTTAATTGAATCAGATAATTCATTGAATTGAACAGGCAAGTGTACCCTTCGCCTGTAATTTCCATCTCTGCACTCGAGCTGCAGCGAGTATCGAGTGTTTAATCACATGGAACAGTACAAAGGACGCAACGCTTACATGTTTTAGCACCGATGCACCCTGGATGTTAAATCACCAGCAAATTCCACTGCGGATGCTCAATTGTGAGCGCACAAAATCATCAAACTTTTTACACACGGCAAGAGATGGAAGATAAATTGGTCAATTGTACTTGCAAGAGAGATTTTCCTGTGCATCTCATAACAAATGTATGTACATATATAGTCTTATATGACGAGCCAATGAAGTGAACAGACTTTTAATGGCTAAAACGTCGATATGTAGGATAGAGCAATTTTCAATAATAGCTATAGAAACTTTATGTTGTCGCCATCGTAATTAAGACACGCTGCAGTGTCAATTGCTTAACGCAAATCTCGGGGGCTAAGAACTCGTTTGATAATCTCGACACAGCTCTGCAAATATATCAGATCATTCTCTCCTCATCACGTAATAAACATTTGAACATATCTAAATGGTACAAGACATAAAAATCAACACCAAATGTACACTTACAAACGCAAAACCACAAAAATTTCACCCGACCAGCAACTCAATTAATTGCATTTTATACTGCTTCTCAACAAAATGTGCAGACCAAAATGTGGCACAACTTTCTATAGACGATTATATCGACAATATTATTTGGAGATCAAATTGCAATTGTAACGGACACTCCATAATAAATGATAATGTTAAGAAACTAGTGGCGAATCATTAATTTTGGGGTCGCAAGAATAAATTGTAAGAACTTTCTCGTGCGACTAAAAGTTTTTGCGGAATTTGATACATATTTCTCATGAGATTTGTCCACTTTTCCCTATAATAAATTATCAGATTACACAAGACAATTTAACGGTGTAAATAATATACACTGAATTTTCAGCGAAAATTCAGAACGAAAGATAATTGAGTGCTTTTCACCCATTGAGAATCCAACTGAGAATTCTTTCAAATTCATTTACATGCTAAATTGCTGTGTGTGAAAAATCACATGGAATACATGAGAATGAGGAAAGTTTCGTCGAGATTCTGTTTTTTTTTGGCAAGCCAAGCGACAAGAACTCTCAATCTTCTTGCAAGGGAAAACTTTTCTACTTCACATTCTCTCTGTACCACTCACATTTATTGTTGAATTACCTAGTGTTACACAAAATTGTGCAAACTACATTCACACAACAAAAGCATCTAGTTTATAGCTGATGCGTGATTATGGGCCATAGACGAAAACCGAGAGGCGAGCAGCAAAAAGACTCGGGAGAGTGAATAAAACGTATCAAAACTCACAGACCTATAATTTAAAATACACCCAACAGACAGCAAACATTAAATTAATAATGTATTGTGGTTTCTCTTTGTGTCCATCGTCAGGAGCACAGGCCAGATTCTGGCTAGATCCAGAGTGAATTCCTCGAATTTCAAGTGCAAATTAGACAGACTGAGACAGATATTTCATTTATAACATCTAATTCCTGTTAAATTGACAATATTAGAGGACAAAGGTAAACGTAAGTGAGCTTTTATATCTTTAATTACGCAAAATACAGAACGGTAAAGTTAGTTACAGTGAAAAACTTTCATGAAATGAATTTTCTTCTTATATCCCAAAGCAACGGAGGAACTTTAATTAAGGATTAGAAGGTGTTTTACACATTGTTACGAACTCTTAATTAAGATTCTTCAAACGACAGAGTATTAAAACTGGGTCATATTTTGATTAAATTCCGGGTATTGTGATATTTGATGCCCGAAGATGACGAATCTTTTCAATGTTCTCGCGAAGAGATCCAACTTGTTGGCACCGCATGGGAGAGTTTGTCTCCTCACGATCAGAACTCAGATATATAAAATTTGAAACGGTGCTGTAATTTGCATACTTTTCTTTCTTTCCTCCTCACCATTTCCCTTCCATCTTCTCTCATCGTTTATCTCACTCTGCACAAGACACAAGATTGAGAATGCGGTTCAGCATCTTTGCTGCTGTCGAGATCAACGTCCAACTAATGACCAATACCCACAATCCAGTCCAGAGCACAGCGCGTCACGGATTTCATGTCGATGTTAAAAGAATTTCACATACATAAAAACATTTACCAAAAAAAAGGCAACACACTCAGTTAGATTCAAATGGTTCCCTGGTGACTTTTGCACGATAAATTCGAGAAAACAACACATACAATCCACTCACGCATCTAAAGCACGCATAATTCGTGGTGGCTTCATTTGGTGAGTTTCTCACCTCATCGACAGAATGTCTTTCTCAGGCCAGCGAGAAAATTCTGAGAAGAATTGCTAAATTGAACTAAAGACCAATACACGATTGTGATAATACACAAAACTTGCATAATAACTCCTCAAACACACCCAACAACAATCGGTGCCGGCATCAGGTGCAACACAAAAGCTTCCTTTCATGCACCACAAGAACAACTGTGCACAGATGACATTACTCTTCCATTTACCCACTCCGCAATTGTGCTGCGCTGAAGAATATAATTGTATACCCAGGAAGGAACATTTAAAAGCTCCGCTCAATTGCAGATATGGGAGCTTTCAGTTGTGAATTTATACATCGACAACCACGAAAAAAAAGTCATTCTATGCCATTTGTGCTAAATTTCTGCACAAAGTTCCAAATAGAGTGATAAAAATTGTGCTTCCAGCCATCGAACAAGTGTAGCCCAGCAATGACAGGCAGTAAAAAAGGCACACAACATGATTCAGTTGACCAAGAGTGGATGGAAGAGAGTGGGACAGAGCATGAGATCTATTGCCCACGAAGGAATATAAATTAAAGCAGAAAACGTGTAAGTCTAGAGTTTCACGTTCGAATGAGTGCATTCGGAGACCAAATTTAATTTTACGCCTCAATGAAACCCAATGGTTTTTGCCCAAGTTTCCTCCGATCACAGTTGATCTTCCAAGAAGTCTCCGAGAGACACGCTCTCGTATCATCCTTAATATGTGTTTGATTGATTTTTTTTTTCTTATCCAGGTGGAAAACCATATTTTTTGTCTCTCTCTCCACATGAAATTACTTTAAGATGATTCTTCTGATTTTCTGAGATAATCAACTTGAATAATTGGTAAATTGGAATTCCAAATTGCCATGACGCGTCCATTTCATTCATTCATGTCTCTCATCTTTTAGAAAATTAAGCAATTTCTTCCTCATTCAATCTTATTTACATAAAGAATTTCATATTATATTTTCACATCACAACACATTGAAAGACTTATGGTTATCTCGAAGCACACACCCAGTTTGCCGTGCATGAGAAGAAAAAAAAGCTCTTTTCCAGCTTTTCACTTGCACAGCACGTTTGCTGTGGTGTGGTCAATAAAAAACCCATTAGTTGAGTCACTATCCCAATAGATATGCAGGCTGAGTTAAGTCGAAATCGTAAGAATTGGCAAACGCACAGGAAGATGTGAAATAGAATCCATATTTCACTTAGAAAAAAAAATCACCATCAATATTGAAGACGGAGTAGAAGAAATTAAATGCTTGATGAGCATGAAACACTGTCGGAAAGCGTTCTTATGAACAATTTTTACGACCTCACCAATAACAATGACCCAACTTTCCTGCAAATTCATTAACATTTCTTCGTCTTTCTCTCTCTCTCACTTTATTAATCTCACACAGAGTTGCTAATGCCAATTGAAAGAAATCATCAGGGAATAGCGTCTCTTTTCGCACAATCACTGTCTCTGAACACTTCAATGGGATTTCCATTTGTATAATTGAAAGAGACGACAAAACCATTTCACTTTGAGAGCTCTCTCAATAAGTGCAATTTTCTGGAAAACTATTTCGACACACACACACAAGAAGAATTTCTAATTCTAATAAGAATATGAGATTCCATGAAATCTGTCCATCTTTGCTGGGGCAACAATTCAAGAACACATATCAAACTTGTGGCTTGAATTGCTCTCACTTACAATGGCGCTCGCAGCGTTTTTCCATGCAAAGTCCCGCCGGGTTTCCTTTTACATAGCGCCATATTTCCCGCCCCCGTCATTCCGAGTCATTAGAAGCTGAAAGTCGTTATGTTGTTATCGCACGAAAACTTCATAGGTGCCTGGGCAGTACGAGCAAGAACATTTCCATATAGCGAGAAACGGGGAGAAAATGCTCTTAGCCCATGTATATAAACAACCGCATTGAGGGTTTAATTCCGAGAATCAAGCGTCAATTCCATGTAAAGCACTTTTCACTCATTCCCGCCTGCCTTTCAACCCTTATTTTCATGGTTTTATGCGTAACAAAACGAATTATTCGGTCGTCCTAATTCACTCGAGTGTACATAAGTGACAAATAGAAAATTTCCGCACATGCCACCGAAAGCTCCAGTACATTATGTATGCGCGATCGGGATGGAATTGAAACATAGCGAAATTTGCATTTAATTTCCTATCTGTCGACTTGTCAATTCTTACTCCTTTCCCAGCGCCCTTTCCTCAAGGTTGTGTTCTCGTTCACAAATGAGATTGTTATTAATAAAAAAGAATTCACTCGGAAGATTGTACATAATCTCAATATTGTCAGCAAGGAAATTCCACTCTAATTAAATCAACGACGTGTAAAATTATATGTACCATTCGGGATTTTTTTTTAAACATTCCACGCGACGTGCTATTTTTCTCTTTTCTCTCACTTCTTCACTACTGGCAAATTCCTGCCAAATAGGTGAGCACGATGGAAGTGAAAATTTCACCCTCAAACCCAGGGAAAAAAGAACATTTGCATTCATCCAGACGGAAAATAGCAATGAATTTCACGTGGAGCAAGTTTTCTCGTGGTCGCGCAAAGTTACAAAATATTTCACTTTTCTCAGAATTTCTCCCCGAATCATAAATAATGTGCAGGAGGCACCAGATGTGTGTATTTGAGTGCTTTAATCTTACGTCTCTATTCCAAGGAGGCCTGATTATACTAATTTCACTTAATATTCACGTCGCGGTGAGAATTTTGGGTAGAATCTTGTGAGAGTTCTCGAAAATAATCTCCTTAAAATTTCAAGGCAAAACCCCTTATCATTTCTTACTAAATGAATGTAAATATTTAAACACACTGAACCCATAAATTCCTAGATGTAAAACAACCGGAACGCAAAGCACCTCTTCAAATCCTAAACCCAGCCATTAATTCCACACAATAGCAAATGCTTCTGTGCACTTCATTAAGTCAAGTCCCATTAAAAATCTCAAACACTATATATTCCAATGAGCTTAACCAATCTCTCTAATTCGTATCCTCCTCAAGCACTCCCAGAAGAGACTAAACTCAATTTCGTTAGTGTGCGGGTGAATTTATCGAATTAAATTCACACGATCCTCAAATTACTGAGTATCTCTCATTGATTGCAATGCTGGAAATGTGAGGGATTTCGCCAGTGAGCCTAATTTCATTATGAATCAATCCATAAGCCTCCAAACGTGGCAAATTTGTGGTATTAACTTGTGTAAAATCCACCCCTTGGAGAGGCACTTATTTACAATCACTCCCCGGAAAGCTTTCCCCGCAACTCAGAAACTCTGCCTTCCAATGTTGTGTCCCCAAATAATGTGGTAGAGACTCTAAATTGCCAAACTTTCGCATATACAGACCCCGAACAAGGCTCACAATGAACTTTTCGCCAAATGTGGAGGGTGATTCAGTTGAAAAAATGCGACAGAAGCCCGTTAAATATTCAACAGACGGAGTTTTATTCAAACCTTCACATTCATTTAGCAAGAGAATATCCAATGAAAATATATTTACTCGCTTTCCTAGGGGGGGAAATTGGAGATAGAAACACGGCTCCACCGCCTTTTCGAGACATTTATTGTCTCATGTGACACGACTTGTTGGCTAGATTACGTCGAAAGTGCAATCCAATTAAAGGAATTATCACATTCGATCTGATTGTAGAATGATGAACACACAACTATATTGTCTCACACTTAATTCAGGCGTTTAGCGCCGGGGAAAACTTGCGCCGACGAAGAAATTTTCCCCCCTCGGCACACAAGAAAATCTCGACGTTATCTCACAACAACAAGCAACACATCTTTCAGCAACATTGCACCCGAAAGTGGATTTCCGTCATCAAAACAACAGGCATAATTCTTTTCTTAATCTTCACACGAACTTCGCTGTGCCTTCGTCTCCCCAAAAAGCGAAAAAGGGAGCTTTTCCACCCCAACTGAAGTCAATGCCAGGGGCAAATTTTGTGTGTCTGGGGCGGCCGAAGCGACGACCACCCATAACGAATTCATATGGAGGAAAGTAACTTAAGTCTTATTGGATTTTGATAACGCACGCCATGTGGTGTGTCGCTGCCGATAAATTCGGGGAATGGAGCGATTTTTCTTCCCTCACCCGTCGAATTTGTCGAGTGTTTGTTGGGGATTGGCAGTGGGTTGAATTTCCCCCAAAGTACACTTTTTTTTATTTGCATGAATTATGCAAACATCCTTTTAATGCATGACAGCACATCTCTTACTTCTTTTTATCTCAAGAGAACTTCCGTCCTCCACTGAGATTATTTATATGTACAATAGTCTCAGCGAGGGTTTATGACGCATTCTCTATACTTGAAGTTCTTAGAGCTTTTCCTGTCAGACGCTTGTCTCCACCCGATTCAAGTTGAACGGAAGTAAGAAGATTTGCAGCAATAATTTCAAGTGATATGTTGTGCGGAGGCAAATTTCGCAGACATACATATACTTTAAAACATCAACGCTGTAATGTGATATTTCTTCAATTTTCTTCAAGTCCACATCTATCCAAAGGCTTTCTCTTGCTGTCAACATTATGCATTTTATGCTCATTCCCAACTCCACTAATTATGCTTGCAGCATTTTTCAACCTCTTTGCGAAGAACGAAGGTCTGTGAAATGCTTGCAATTTTTCACGACACTGCAATTATTCGCCGAGGTTCATTGGAATGTCTGCATAAATGCATAAAACACGCGGCGGCTGTGTCGTGTGAAGAGCTTCTCCTCATCCACTCTGCACGAGGTTTATCTGTGTCACCTGCAACTCGAGCCCGTGAAAATATGA